CTCCCTCCAGTACTGCTTCAACCTTCGTATTTTTGTACAATTTCCTTCTTCAATTCTATCATATTTATTATTATTACTATTTTTATTATTAGCAGTAGCATAAATGTTTGATTCTTTGCTGTGTTCAAGAGTAAACATACGATGTCACCGTCCAATACCTGTCCGAATAGCCATTCCAATATTCAGTCATGAATGGGTTTACATTATTTATACTGTAGTTTAATAGCAAATAATGAACAAACAAAACACTCACCATACTGGTGGGAGGGCTGGCTGCCAGTTGCGGGGGTCGGAGGGAGGGTAGTAGAAACTCGCAGGTGGCGGGAAACTTAAGTATGATTTGGCAGCTGGGAATTTAGCGGTTGGGAATTCACGAATGTGTGAAGCCCACGAAAATTGAAAATGCGAATGTTGAGGGAGACCTGCAATTTATCAATTAAACTTCATAGTAGGTATGTATAGATTTGCTACTATCTGTGCTTTCATTATCCATGGCAGATCCTTGGAATATATACCAGTGGATACGGGGGTTCTACTACAAACGAATTACATCACTCGTCCAACTAGTCCGTCTAATACACGTTCACAAATATGCCAATACAGGTCTCCCTCAACATTCACGTTTTCAACTTTCGCGGGCTTCACACATTCGCGAATTACCAACCGCTAAATTCCCAGCAGCCAAATCATATTTAAGTTTCCCCCCACCTGCGAGTCCCTATTACCCTCCCTCTGACCCCCAGCAACTGGCAGCCTGCCCTCCCACCAGTGTGGTGAGTGTTTTGTTTGTTCATTAATTACTATTAAACTACAGTATAAATAATGAAAACCCATTCATGACTGCATATTGGAATGGCTATTTGGACAGGTATTGGACGGTGACATCATGTGTTTACTCTTGAACACAGCAAAGAATCAAACATTTCTGTATGCTAATATAGCATAGATAGTAGTATAGATAGTGTATATATAGTGAGTATAATGTAGTGTAATATTAAATTTAGTAGTAGTAATAGTAGTAATAGATATAAATAGTAATGAGTAAAAAGTAAGTAATAGTATAATAAGTAATATAGTAATATAGTAGTAATAGTAGTAATAGTAGTATAATAGTAGTAGTAATAATATAGTAATAATAGTAATAATAGTAATAATAGTAATAGTAGTAATAGTAGTAATAGTAGTAAGTAGTATATAGTATAGTAATAATAGTAGTAATAGTAGTATAAATAGTAGTAATAATAGTAATAGTAGTATAGTATATAGTAATATATAGTAATATATAATAGTAGTAATAATAGTAGTTAATAGTAAAGTAGTAGTAATAGTAGTATATAGTAATAGTATAGTAATAATAGTATATAATATAGTATATATATATAATGTAAAAGTAGTATAATAGTAGTAATAATAGTAGTAATAATAGTAGTAATAATAATAGTAATAATAGTAATAGTTAATAATAATAGTAATAATAATAGTAATAATAGTAATAATAGTAATAATAGTAATAATAATAGTAATAATAGTAATAATAATAATAATAATAGTAATAATAGTAATAGTAATAATAGTAATAATAGTAATAATAATAGTAATAATAATAGTAATAATAGTAAAATAGTATAATAATAGTAATAATTAATTATATTTTTATATAATTAATACATAGATTGAGAAGGAATTGTACAAATCGAAGGAGTGGTTGACACATCGTCAGTGTGGCTTTGTTTATGCTGGAGTGAGCATTAGTCTCCGCGCTCTTCCAAACATTTCACAATAATTCATTGTGTTTGGTGCTTGTAGATTGAGTGCAACTGGAGTGGTAGAGGCAGTGGTTGGGGAAGCGGTCGAGGCAGTGGTCGAGGCAGTGGTATTTAATAACATACATGTTATTAATAATAATAATAATAATAATACATGTTATTGGTAATATGTATTATTATTATTTATAACATGTTATTAAATACCACTGCCTCAACCACTGCCTCACCAACTACCTCAACCTTTGCCTCAACCACTGCCTCACCCACTACCTCAACCACTGCCTCAACCGCTGCCTCAACCGCTGCCTCAACCGCTGCCTCAACGCTGCCTCAACGCTCCTACCGCTGCCTCAACCGCTGCCTCAACCGCTGCCTCAACCGCTGCCTCAACCGCTGCCTCAACCGCTGCCTCAACCGCTGCCTCAACCGCTGCCTCACCCAATGCCTCACCCAATGCCTCACCCAATGCCTCAACCGCTTCCCCAACCACTCCAGTTGCACTCAATCTACAAGCACCGAACACAATGAATTATTGTGAAATGTTTGGAAGAGCACAGAGACTAATGCTCACTCCAGCATAAAGAAAGCCACACTGACTATGTGTCAACCACTCCGTGTTTTTGTACAATTTCCTTCTTCAATTCTATCGTATTTATTATTATTATTAGTATTATTGCTACTACTACTATTGTTATTATTAGCAGTAGCAGAAATGTTCGATTCTTCGCTGTGTTTAAGAGTCAACACATGATGTCACCGCCCAATACCTGTCCAAATAGCCATTCCAATATGCAGTCATGAATGGGTTTACATTATTTATACTGTAGTTTAATAGCAAATAATGAACAGACAAAACACTCACCATTCTGGTGGGAGGGCTGGCTGCCAGTTGGGGGGGTCGGAGGGAGGGTAATAGGGACTCGCAGTGGTCGAGGAAGTGGAGGCAGTGGTATTTAATAACATACATGTTACTAAACCATAACGTGTATGTATTTAGTACAATTTACGACATTTTCATGTATTTTATGATTGTTCAACAAGTTAAGGAAGAAGTATTGTATTATATTTCCCTACAATATATTGGGGCACCAAACATTCACAATTTTTCAACATTCGCAAGGCTCTTGATCCCCTAACCCTCGCGAATGTTGAGGGAGACCTGTACTATTTATACAATTACAATAAATCTATTTTTGTGTGTGAATAAAAATTAAAAATAAAAAGCAAGTGCAATGTAAGTTGCATGGGGACGTAACTAATGAAAAGATGAAGAAAAAAAATTTAGTGCCAGGAATGTATATATTGTTTATTCTGGAACCTATTTTTAAATTGTCAATTTTCTGAATTCTGTTTGAAATTTGCCAAATTACAGATTTCTGATTACTTTATTGAGTAGTTGAAATAGGTAAATGGACAGGTTCTTGTACTCAATTAATAAAATAGAAGGAATACTAGCAAAATAGCTATAACTCTTCTGAGGTCCCAACAGTCGAGTTAACCTAAAAATACACTTACCTGGAGGTTATTCCGGGGATCAACGCCCCCGCGGCCCGGTCCACGACCAGGCCTCCCGATGGATCAGGGCCTGATCAACTAGGCTGTTACTGCTGGCCGCACGCAGTCCGACGTACGAGCCACAGCCCGGCTGATCCGGCACCGACTTTAGGTATCTGTCCAGCTCTCTCTTGAAGGCAGCCAGGGGTTTATTGGCAATTCCCCTAATGCTGATGGGAGGCTGTTGAACAGTTTTGGGCCCCGGACACTTATGGTGTTTTCTCTTAGTGTACCAATGGCGCCCCTACTTTTTATTGGCGGCATTTTGCATCGCCTGCCCAGTCTTTTACTTTCGTAGGGAGTGATTTCTGTGTGCAGATTTGGGACCATTCCTTCCAAGATTTTCCAAGTGTAGATTATGATATATCTCTCCCTCCTGCGTTCCAACGAGTACAAGTCAAGTGCTTCCAAGCGTTCCCAGTAGTTAAGGTGCTTGACAGAACTTATGAAAGTTTCCTAGGTTCCTAGAATTTTTCCTACCATCACAGCCTAGCCTGGGGCCAAGCTTTCTAATGCCTAATCAGCCTTACTGTTGCTGTTTGCAGCCAACATTCATTGCAGCCTGGTGATCTGGCACCTGACAGAAGGTAGTAATCTTTGTACGAAAGACACTTTTTTTTTTTTTTTTTTTTTTTTTTTTTTTTTTTTTTTTTTTTTTTTTTTAACTCCAATAGCCATTTCCTACAAGGCAGGGTGATGCAAAGAATAGAGACCAAAACTGTATTAAATAATATAAGCAAGGTATATCAGATGTATACTGTATACAGCTATACTGCAACCTTTGAACCTTTGTTGTGTATACTCAATATGAATCTAAAAAGACTAACAGATTTTATTTTACTCTTAGGCACTGCTGCCTTTGCTTTAAATTCTTGTTAACCCTGAGCCCTAAATCCTTTTTTCAACTAGTAAGCAAGTTCAACAATACTGAGTTTGTAAGTGCTGTGGATATTTTCTTTCCTTGGGTCTAGAGCCTAACATTTAACTACAATGAACTGCATCAACCACATCTCTAAAATTAATCCAAATCCTAAAATTCTGTGCTCTATTTTTGGACAATTTTCAGGTTATTGCAAATTTACACAAGTTACCATTTATTTAATCCTCTACATCTTTTGCTTTTATTCCCTTTAACACAGAATGTAAATTATGACTGTTTATAGCTACAAGCCTTGGGTACATGCAGGTGCACAAAGTGCATAGTAGTAACTAGTGAGTGATAAAAAAATAAAAGTATCAAACAATGTCAACAATTAAATTCTATCCATTTACAAGAATTTCAGTTTCTAACGTCAATATAGCCTCTCCTCACTTAGTGACATACTCGTTTACCAACCGCTCAGACTTACGACCAGCTCTCCAACCAATATGCAAACCTAAGTAATGTACATTAGAGCTGAGTTCCTCTATTCTGTTTATTACAGTATACAGTACACTACTGTATAAACATTTAAAAGTATACTAAAGATGCTATAAATGGTGCAAAGGTGACATTAAAAAAATGTCTAAAGATGGGTGACAAACCCACTACCAGTACAGTATGCTCCTCACTTAACAACTAATTCACTTACCATCCTACTCTTAGGAACGGAACCCTGTCGTTAAGAGACGCTGCACTATTTTGTCTCTAAGTACTAGTAAAATGTCAAGGCAATTAACATTTAAAGTTGAGTGACAAACCTGAGTAAGGTAATCAAAAAGAACTGGAAGCAGTTCAGCATGATACTTGCTGATATCTGGCTGCAGATGTTCTGCAAACTGGCCCAGAGCAAATAATGCACTATTTCGCACCAACTGAAAAGAAAAAAAATAATGAAAATACAAAAACATTAAATAAATCTGATCATTCAAGAAAAACCAAACATCCAAATTTCTGAAAATGAGTCTACAGTTACAAATGTATTAACCCTTTCAGGGTCCGTCCCGTAGATCTACGGCTTTACGGTGAGTGTCCAAACCGTAGATCTATGCCAAAATTCTAGCGCCATCAAATTTAGCGCGAAAGCGCACATAGACCTACATGTGAGAGAATGGGTCTGCGCCGTGGGTGTGCGCCGTAAACAAAAAATCTAGGCGCCTGCATAGCATTGTGGGAACGCCGGCTCAGTCACCCTTGTTCACCATGCCTCGTCGCAAGTCAGCTCTCACTCCCCGGAAAATTGGGACTCTCCTCTTCCTGTCTGATAGTTCTGACACTGATGGAAGTAGAAATGAAGACGAATTCTACGGCTTTGATAAGTTAGTGACCAAAAATAATGACCAGGATATCGATAATAGTGCAGAAAACCCCGACGATCCTTGACCTTCTACATCTGGTGTGGGCACTCGTGACTCACGGTCGGGTATTCCTAAACGTAAGAGAAAACTAATATTTTCGCGTGGCCAGGCCTCTGACTTTAGTAATGACGATGATTCTGACGTGGATTGTGATTTTATTGCGCTCGACGATCATTCGAGTAGTGATAGTGAGGAATCATATTCACCAGTGAAGCGTCGGTATGTTCGCCGCCGCATGCGCTCGGGTAGTGTACCCTATGCTGTGCCCAGGGGACGGAGTACATCCCGGAGTACATCCCGTGGCCCTACACCCGTTTTAGGTAGTGATAGTGAGGATGATGTGGCTACACTTGGCATGGATGAGCCACAGGCATCAGTGGATGGTGTTAGTGGTGCTGGTGGTGGTAGTGGCACCGCCATGCGTGACTCACCGTGTCACGCGGGGACCCATGCTGCTGACTCGTCAATTCAAGGACAAAGCGGAGCGTCAGCCACCAGCCCGCCACAACCACAACCACCCGTACAACCAGCCTATGATGTCCAGTATCCACCAGCAAACCGTATGTGGGATTGGCAGCAAAATCCCAATTTTGTTCCCAAGCCTCACCACTTTGATGACTCTCAAAGTGGAATTCTACCTACCTGTCCCCTTGGAACCACGGCCAATGAACTGGAATTCTTTGAATTATTCTTTGACCAGCCATTGATGGAAATTATTGCCAGGGAAAGTAATAAGTATTTTCAGTACACCATGGCAAATACGATCTTATCACCACAGTCAAGACTACACAGGTGGAAAGAGAGACGACTGTTGCAGAAATGTATTTGCTTTTTGCAACAATAATGCTTATGCCTCACGTCTATAAGCATAATATAAAAGCATACTGGTCCACAGATCGGCTAATTTCTACCCCGGTCTTCAGTGAAATAATACCAGTGAACAGGTTTAACTTACTGTTACGTATGTTGCACTTCTCTGACAAAACCAGGCCTGACAGAAGTGACAGGTTATACAAGATTAGAAATGTTTTCATGTATCTCAAACAAAAGTTCAGCATATACTTTTATCCATTCAAGAATCTTGTAATTGACGAGTCTTTGATTTTGTTCAAAGGTAGACTGTCATTCAAGCAGTATATACCGAGCAAGAGGAACCGCTTTGGTATAAAACTGTTTGTACTCTGTGATTGTGACAGTGGCCTGGTGTTGGATATTGTTGTATACACGGGTAGTAAAACATTGAAAGATACCAAGATGTTATTGGGTATCTCAGGTGACGTAGTGAGAAACATGATGGCACCTTATCTTGGTAAGGGGCATACATTATATACCGATAACTGGTACACAAGCCCATTACTCAGTGATTTCATGCGAGTGAACAAGACAGATGTGTGTGGCACAGTGCGTTCTAATCGTAAACATATGCCCAGGCTCAACGCAGGTGTTCGTGGTGATGACGTGCAGGTGTTTACTGCCAATGACATCATGGCATTACGGTGGCATGACAAACGAGATGTCACATTGTTGACAACCATTCACCGTTAATGAAATGCAAGACAGTGGCAAAGTTGATCGAGTGACTAATGAACGTATTCGAAACCAGTGTCAGTGATTGATTATACACAAAACATGCGCTTGGTTGACAAGTGTGACATGCAGATTGGTTTTGTTGACTGTGTTCGTAAGAGTTACAAGTGGTACATGAAACTTTTCTTCCATCTCATGGACATTTCAATGCTCAATGCATATAATATGTACCAAATAAAGACTGGTAACAGACCACCGTTATGGTGAATTTTGTTTTGTCTGTTGTCAGACAACTCATAATGAAGTACCAGGTAACAACACCTGCAATACAACATGGTCCTCGAATTCCTCAGGATATACCCAAGCGCTTGAGGAGAGAAGGTGATCATTTCATAATACAGCTTCCTTCAACTCAAAAGAAATTTGCTCAGAAGAGATGCATTGTCTGTGCACAAACAAAACGACGGCAACAAAGACGCAAAGACACTCGGTTTATGTGTGAGGAATGTAAGGTGCCTCTGTGCATGGTGCCTTGTTTCAAGGAGTTCCACAAGCTCCAGCAGTTCTAAAACCATGTCCAGTGATTGTAAATATGTAAATATATGATAGAACATTAGTATTATACAATATTTGTGCATGTTTATTGTAATAAAAAACAGTGGTAAACAATAATATGATAATAACTTTAGTGCGGTTATTGTGTTCAATACAGTGAGTTTATATATATCAATTATATACAGTACTGGTCTCTCAGGCCCCAAATGTTAGTAGGAATAGAAAAAAATTGGAAAAGAAAAGAAAAAACAACTAAAACAACAAAATAATATAATACGCGTATGTGGAATTCGTCGATGTTGCCACCACCACATCATTTTCTATAAACTTCTTGGCACTGTATCTCGGTAAGTACTGATCAGATTCTTATTTTTTTTGTTTTATTACCTTCACAAAAATATGCTCTTTAATTCTGTAAGAAAAAATAATTTTTTTGTTTTCAAAATTTCTTGGACACTGGTGCGTGACTTCAGATTTTGGCCTTGGACCCTGAAAGGGTTAACATGTAAATAAAATTAACTTTTTAGAGTAATTAACCCTTTAATTGACTGTGCTGTAGTACTACAGCTCTGAGGTCACTGTCAGTGCCATAGTACAATGCCATGAGCTCAGCTCACTCAGATAAGATGTAGTCACAGTGTTGCCTATGCTAACCTTCCTATGGTGTAGAAATATACCTAGTTGGATGAATCTTATTGTGGCTAGCTGGCCCAGTGGCTAACGCGATGGTCTGGAGGAGCTGTTCGAAACTCGAGGTACCACTGTACATGCATACCTGGTTTTCATTGGTGATGCCATGACAGATGCATTGCAGTAGTGGATGCAGGTGCTTGTTGCGCAGCGTGTCAGCACAACCCTCAGCCACCATGGCCAGGGCAAGATAGGCACCCTTCACCTGCAATGTAAGGTTATAAGAAAAAAAATATTCTCTCAAGCAGACAGCAAGAGAGAATACACAAAATACAGACAAATACACTGAAAGAAATTTAAGTCTTTAAAAACTCTTATCATAATGATTTTAGAAAAAGTATTTCAATTTAAATATTTATACAGTAGGGCTCCCGCTTTACGGTGTTTTTGCCTTACGGCGTTCCGATAATCTGGGCATCTAAAATTATGAACAAAATCTGTACGACCCCCCCACCTGACTTTCTAATACAGTCACCGCTGGCCGCCCGGTTTGTTTACATTCTCTGTAAGCATAACTCTCCATTATGCCTGGAAACTTTCCAAAATTTCACATGTTTTAAAGCTATTTTATATATACACATTTTTTTTTGTTAGCAAGTCGGCCGTCTCCCACCGAGGCAGAGTGACCCAAAAAGAAAGAAAATCCCCAAAAAAAGAAAACACTTTCATCATTCAACGCTTTCACCTCACTCACACATAATCACTGTTTTTGCAGAGGTGCTCAGAACACAACAGTTTAGAAGCATATTTGTATAAAGATACACAACATACCCCTCCTAAACTGCTAATATCCCAACCCCCTCCTTCAGAATGCAGGCATTGTACTTCCCATTTCCAGTACTCAAGTCCGGCTATATAAAAATAACCGGTTTCCCTGAATCCCTTCACTAAATATTACCCTGCTCACACTCCAACAGTTCATCAGGTGCCAAATACCATTTGTTTCCATTCACTCCTATCGTACATGCTCATGCACGCCTGCTGGAAGTCCAAGCCCCTCGCCCACAGAACCTCCCTTACCCCTTCCTTCCAACCTTTTCGAGGACAACCCCTACCCGCCTACAGATTTAAATGCTCTCCCTGTCACTCTACCTTCATCCATTCTCTCTAAATGATCAAACCACCTCAACAACCCCTCTTCTGCCCTCTGACTAATACTTTCATTAATTCCACACCTCCTAATTTCCACACTCTGAATTTTCTGCATAATATTTACACCACACATTGCCCTTAGGCAGGACATCTCCACTGCCTCCAACCACCTCCTCGCAGCTGCATTCACAACCCAAGCTTCACACCCATATAAGAGCGTTAGTACTACAATACTTTCATACATTCCCTTCTTTGCCTCCATAGATAACGTTTTTTGTCTCCACATATACCTCAACGCACCACTCACCTTTTTTCCCTCATCAATTCTATGATTAACCTCATCCTTCATAAATCCATCTGCCGACACGTCAACTCCCAAGTATCTGAAAACATTCACTTCTTCCATACTCCTCCTCCCCAATTTGATATCCAATTTTTCTTTATCTAAATCATTTGAAACCCTCATCACCTTACTCTTTTCTATGTTCACTTTCAACTTTCTACCTTTACACACACTCCCAAACTCATCCACTAACCTTCGCAATTTTTCTTTATAATCTCCCATGAGCACAGTATCATCAGCAAAAAGCAACTGTGTCAATTCCCATTTTGTATTTGATTCCCCATAATTTAATCCCACCCCTCTCCCGAATACCCTAGCATTTACTTCTTTTACAACCTCATCTATAAATATATTAAACAACCATGGTGACATTACACATCCCTGTCTAAGACCTACTTTTGCTGGGAAGTAGTCTCCCTCTCTTCTAAACACCCTAACCTGAGCCTCACTATCCTCATAAAAACTCTTTACAGCATTTAGTAACTTACCACCTATTCCATATACTTGCAACATCTGCCACATTGCTCCCCTATCCACTATCATATGCCTTTTCTAAATCTATAAATGCAATAAAAACTTCCCTACCTTTATCTATATACTGTTCACATATATGCCTCAATGTAAACACTATCTACACATCCCCTACCCACTCTGAAACCTCTTTGCTCATCTGCAATCCTACATTCTGTCTTACCTCTAATTCTTTCAATTATAACCCTACCGTACGCTTTTCCTGGTATACTCAGTAAACTTATTCCTCTATAATTTTTACAATCTCTTTTGTCCCCCTTCCCTTTTATATAAAAGGACTATACATGCTCTCTGCCAATCCCTAGGTACCTTCCCCTCTTTCATACATTAAACAAAAATACCAACCACTCCAACACTATATCCCCCCCTGCTTTTAACATTTCTGTCATAATCCCGTCAGTTCCAGCTGCTTTACCCCCTTTCATTCTACATAATGCCTCACATACCTCCCCCACACTCACATCCTGTTCTTCTAAAAGATGGTATACCTCCCTGGCCAGTGCATCAAATTACCACTTCCCTTTCTTCGCCAACATTTAAAAGTTCCTCAAAATAATCTCGCCATCTACCCAAAACCTCCATCTCCCCCATCTACTAACTCCCCTACTCTGTTTTTAACTGACAAATCCATTAGTTCTGTAGGCTTTCTTGACTTGTTTAACTCACTCCAATTTTTTTATTTTCATTAAAATTTCTTGACAGTGCCTCTCCCACTCTATCATCTGCTCTCATGCATGTGCAAGCATATATATACACACACCCCTCTGGGTTTCCTTCTATTTTCTTATTAGTTCTTGTTCTTGTTTATTTCCTCTTATCTTCATGGGGAAGTGGAACAGAATTCTTCCTTCATAAGCCGTAAGTGTTGTAAGAGGTGACTGAAATGCCGGGAGCAACAGGCTAGTAACCCCCTTTCCTGAATACATTACTAAAGTCAAAAAGAGAAACTTTTTTTTGGTTTTGGCCCACCCTGCTTCGGTGAGATATGGCCATTTCATTGAAAAAAGAAGTGAGGCTCAGGTTAGGGTGTGTAGGAGAAAGGAAGATTACTTCCCAGTAATAATAGGTCTTAGACAAGAATGTGTAATGTCACCATGGTTGTTAAACATATTTATGGGGTTGTAAAAGAAGTAAATGCTAGGGTGTTTGAGAAAGGGATGGGATTGAATTATGGGGAATCAACTACAAAATGGGAGTTGACACAGTTACTGTTTGCTAATGATACTGTGCTTTTGGGGGATTCTGAAGAAAAGTTGCAAAGGTTAGTGGACAAGTTTGGGAGGGTATGTAAAGGGAGAAAGTTTAAAGTGAACATAGGTAAGAGTAAGGTGATGAGGGTATCAAATGATTTAGATGAAAAATTGGATATCACATTGGACGGACAGTGTATGGAAGCAGTGAACGTTTTTAGACATTTAGGAGTTGATTTGTCAACGGATGGGCTTATGAAGGATGAGGTTAACCACAGAATTGATGAAGGAAACAAGGTGAGTGGTGCACTGAGATATCTGTGGACACAGAGAACATTACCCATGGAAGCAAGTAAGGGAATGTAAGAGAGTATAGTGGTAGCAACACTCATATGCGTGTGAAGCATGGGTTGTAAATTCTGCAGTGAGGAAGTGGATGGAGGCAGTGGAGATGTCGTGTCTAAGGGCAATGTGTGGTGTAAATATTATGCAGAGAATTTGTAATGTGGAAATCAGGAGGTGTGGAGTTACTAAAAGTATTAGTCAGAGGGCTGAAGAGGAGCTGTTGAGGTGGTTTGGTCATTCAGAGAGAATGGAACGAAGTAGAATAACTTGGAGAGCGTATAAATCTGTAGGGGAAGGAAGGCGGGGTAGGGGTCGTCCCTGAAAAGGTTGGAGGGAGGGGGTAAAGGTTTTGTGGGCGAGGGACTTGTACTTCCAGCAAGAGTGCGTGGGGTAATATTTGGTGAAGGGATTCAGGGAAATCGGGTAGCCGAACTTGAGTCCTGGAAGTGGGAAGTACGATGCCTGCATTTTAAAGAAGGGGTTTGGGACATTGGCAGTTTGCAGGGATATCTAAGCTCCTCTGTAAAGACAATTATGTATGAATGATGGTTAAAGTGTTGAATGATGAAAGATTTTTTTCTTTCTTTCTTTTTGGGTCACCCTGCCTCAGTGGGAAACCAGTGACACGTTAACAAAAAAAAAAGTTTACTCCAATTGTCTTGTTGGAGTGTTGGAAAGAATAAAGTTTTCTATAATTCAACACCAAAGAAAATGTGTACACAATAGTATTATTGGGGGTAACTAGAAAATTATTCCTTTCGTATGCCTTCGCTCGGAGCGTCATTCCGTCTAAAAATGTGTTACATGAGAATGGGAGTGTTGCTCTATTTATTCTACTTTACCAATGTGGAGACATCTTGTACACAATATATGTTGTTTATGTTATGATATAAACTTCACAGACATGAAAAAGAACGTGTATGAACCATACCGAGACGTGTTCATCTGCTTGTTTACATACTTTGCGTCTCTGTCCTCTCATTTATTTGTTCTGTCTTGTTTATTCGCTTTTATCTCGTTCACTCACTTCTCGCCCTATGTTAAGACTACAAATACTTTAAGGTGAGTAATGAGTATATATATGCATTTTATCACTCTAGGATGCTTTAAATGTCATAGTATATTACGTGTGGGTGGGTTGACCAGGAGGGATACTATACCTCCTACATCTGACTTCTTACAATAAATACTACTCACCTCTCACCCTACATTAAGAGTACAAATATTTTGAGTTAAGTAATGAGTGTACTGTGTGTATTTTACTTTTTATTGTTTTTTAATGCCTAGTTCTATTGCTAACTTAATATATATTAGTGTAAACTTGTTATCTGGCATTTACATGCATTTATAAGTGGAAAAATGGTGTTCTGTTATGGCGATGTCTGCTTTTTCTCGGTAGCCTGGAACCTTACCTGCTGTATAAGTGGGGCCCAACTATTTATTTAAATTATAGCAAACATTTTATATACATATTACTGTATATTAAAATTCAAATATCTGCCTGCTGTATGGATTAAATTTTTTAAAAAAGCTACAAAGAACTGTATGTATGTCATTACAAATGCTGAATTAGAGGGCAGGTTTAACTAACCTCAGTCTATAACAAGGCACAGTACTTAGTGTAATGTTATATCATTAATAATAATGAAAAGAAGGAAGAAAGGAGACTTCTCAAAATGTCAACCAGTCTGACTTGTGAGCATTTATATTAGGGTTCCATTACTCTTTAAGAGGACTTAATGATAAAAATCTGAAAGCTAGTTCACAATGTTGGGTAACCAGTAATGATTTGAAAACATTCAATATAGCTTTTGTAAGGTAAAGACTTGCTTTAAGCCACTGGCAGCTATTTTATGAGAACAATCTAGCACATTACCTGATGTGGGTTTCCACTCTTCAAAGCAGGTTCTACATGGCCCATTAGGCAAGGAAGGAGTTTATCTGGGGGCAAGTGCAGGGCACAAGCATCAAGTGTTTGAGCTGCTGCGTGCATAGGGCTCCCTCCCTCACCCTCATCTCCTCCCAAAAAACCAAGGCAGGAATCATCTTCAGTTTCACTGCATGCTACGCCAAACATCACAGAAACTAGGGGTACCACAAGTTTGTTTTTCAGTATGTACTGAAAAGAAGGAAAGAAAAAGAATTACTGAAGGATTCAATTTTTTTTTTTAAGATTAACACCCAGGTCAACTTAGCAGTCTGTACACTAAATATTGATCTACACAAGAAAATTTGTAAAAGTTTTTCCCTTCCAGCTACAGCATAACAGTACAAAATAGTCTCTGAAAGCTTAATGAAAATAATACAAACTGATGAGAATGGAGAACAGCCAGTTATACAATCTCATAAGTGTATTAAGAGAAGTGTATAATAAAGTACCATTCCATCAAAAGTTTATAATTATAAACAATACAAATGCATAAGAACAAGTGCTCAGTGTTCCAATATGGCTACAGGCATTCAATCTTTCTATCTTCAACTTTATAGCACTGAAAAATGATAATAGTTACAACTATCTAGGTAGTAGGTTGGTAGACAGCAACCGCCCAGGGAGGTACTACTGTCCTGCCAGGTGAGTGTAAAACTGAAGCCTGTAATTGTTTTACACGATGGTAGGATTGCTGGTGTCTTTTTTTTTCTGTCTCATACACATGCAAGATTTCAGGTACGTCTTGCTACTTCTACTTACACTTAGGTCACACTACACATGCATACATACAAGCATATATATACACACCCCTTTGGGTTTTCTTCTATTTTCTTTCTAGTTCTTGTTCGTGTTTATTTCCTCTTACCTCCATGGGGAAGTGGAACAGAATTCTTCCTCCGTAAGCCATGCGTGTTGTAAGAGACGACTAAAATGCTGGGAGCAAGGGGCTAGTAACCCCTTCACCTGTATATACTACTAAATGTAAAAGAAGAAACTTTCGTTTTTCCTTTTGGGCCACCCCGCCTCAGTGGGATACAGCCAGTGTGTTGAAAGAAAGAAAAGAAGTTACAGCTATTAGGTGATGTAAGATTGGACATCAGATTTGAGGGAGAGAGTATGGAGGAGGTGAATGTATTCAGATATTTGGGAGTGGACGTGTCAGCAGATAGGTCTATGATGGATGAGGTGAATGGTGCACTTAGGAGTCTGTGGAAGCAAAGAGAGGAATGTATGAGAGTATAGGTATACGAACACTCTTATATGGGTGTGAAGCATGGGTGGTGAATGTTGCAATGAGAAGGCTGGAGGCAGTGGAGATCTCATGTCTGAGGGCAATGTGTGGTGTAAATGTAATGCAGAGAATTTGTAGTTTGGAAATCAGGAGGAGGTGCGGGATTACCAAAACTATTATTCAGAGGGCTGAGGAGGAGTTGTCGAGGTGGTTCAGATACGCAGAGAATGGAACAAAACAGAATGACCTCGGAAGTGAATAAATCTGTAGTTGAGGGAAGGTGGGGTAGGGTTCGGCCTAGGAAAAGTTGGAGGGAGGGGCTTGGACTTCCAGCAAGCATGCATTAGTGTATTTGATAAGAGAGTGGAGACAAATGGTTTTTAATACTTGACATGCTGTTGGAGTGTGAGCAAAGTAACATTTATGAAGGGATACAGGGAAACCGGCAGGCCAGACTTGAGTCCTAGAGAAGGGAAGTACAGTGCCTGCACTCTGAAGGAGGGGTGTTAATGCTGCAGTTTTATAACTTTGTGTAAGTACCCCTCTGGCAAGACAGTGATGGAGTGAATGATGAAAGTTTTTTTTTTTTTGAGCCACCCTGCCTTGGTGAGAATTGGCCAATGTGTTAATAAAAATAGTTACACCTCCTGCTACAGATTTAGTACAGATGGGCTGACAGTACAGTAGGGCCCCACTTTATGGCATTTTGCCCTACGGCGTTCCGCCAATACGGACATTTCAAATTATGACCAGAACTCTCTATATGGTTCTACCCACTTGACTTTCCAATAACGTCATCACGAGCCACCCAGTTTGTTTACATTCTCTGTGAGCTCTGCGTCTCTCCATTATGTCTGGAAACTTTCTAAAATTTCAAGAGTTTTAAAGTTATTTCATATTTTATATATATATGTTTTTTTTTTTTAACACATCAGCCATTTCCCACCAAGGCAGGGTGGCCCTCTCCTCAAAAAAAAACAAAAAGTCTTTCAACATTTTCACTATCACTGAGTGCCTCTGCAAAGAGGGTGATTATGTATGAGTGATGGTGAAAGTGGTGAATGATTAAAGTTTTTACTTTTTTTTTTTTTTTTTTTTGTCTTTTTGGGTCACCCTGCCTCGGTGGGAAATGGCCAACGTGTAAAAAAAAAAAAAAAAAAATCAATGAGGCGCATTAAATGTCGTATATTACATCAATATAGACATTCTGATTAAACCATCTATGATATTCTTTCAAAATTATATCATAAACATGCTACATAACAAACATGATAAATACACCCCACAGTAGAATAAATTAACAAATGGGAGATTATTTCCAGCTGTCTTGTCAGTGTTGGAAAGAATGTTTCCTCTAGTTCAACACCAAAGAAAAGGTGTACACAGTAGTATTACTGGGGGTAACTAGAAATTATTCCTTCCGTTTGCCTTCATTCCAGAGCATCATTCCTTCTAAAAATTTGGTGTTACACAAGAATGGGAGAGTTGCTCTTTATTTATTCTACTGTACCAATGTGGAGAGAACCTGTACACACTGTAAGGTGTTTGTATTATGGTATAAGCTTCACACACATGAAAATGAGCATGTATCATCCATAACCAGATGTGTTCATCTCTTCGTTTACATTCATTCATTCATTTTCTCTCTCATTCTCTCTCTTTCTTTTTCTTTCTCTCTCTCTCTCTCTTTTTCTTTCTCTATTCTTTTTCACTTTCTCATTCTCTCTTCTCATTCTCTTCATTCATCTTTCCTCTCTCATTCTTCCATTTCTCTTCATTCTCTTTCCCTCTCTTCATTCTCTTTCCTCTCTCATTCTCTTTCCCTCTCTCATTCTCTTTCCCTCTCTCATTCTCTTTCCTCTCTCATTCTCTTTCCCTCTCTCATTCTCTTTCCCTCTCTCATTCTCTTTCCCTCTCTCATTCTCTTTCCCTCTCTCATTCTCTTTCCCTCCTCATTCTCTTTCCCTCTCTCATTCTCTTTCCCTCTCTCATTCTCTTCCCTCTCCATTCTCTTCCCTCTCTCATTCTCTTTCCCTCTCTCATTCTCTTTCCCTCTCTCATTCTCTTTCCCTCTCTCATTCTCTTTCCCTCTCTCATTCTCTTTCCCTCTCTCATTCTCTTTCCCTCTCTCATTCTCTTTCCCTCTCTCATTCTCTTTCCCTCTCTCATTCTCTTTTCCTCTCTCTCATTCTCTTTCCCTCTCTCTCATCTCTCTTCTCTCATTCTCTTCTTCTCTCATCTTTCTCTATTTCTTCTATTCCTTCTTTCTCATTCTCTTTCCTCTCTCATTCTCTTCTTCTTTCTCTTTCTATTCTTCTCATTCTCTCTCTTTCTCTTCTCATTCTCTTTTCTCTTCTCTCTTTCTCATTCTCTTCTCTTTCTCTTTCTTCTCTTTCTCTCTCTCTTCTCTTCTCTTCTCTCTTCTCTTTCTTCTCTCTCTTTCTCTCATTCTCTCTCTCTTCTCTCCTCTCATCTCTCTCTTCTCTTATTCTCTCTCTCTTTCTCTCTCTCTCTTCTCTTCGTTCTCTTTCTCTTGTTCTCTTTCTCTCTCGTTCTCTTTCTCTCTCGTTCTCTTTCTCTCTCGTTCTCTTTCTCTCTCGTTCTCTTTCTCTCTCGTTCTCTTTCTCTCTCTTCTCTTTCTCTCTCGTCTTCTCTCTCTTCTCTTTCTCTCTCGTTCTCTTCTCTCTCGTTCTCTTTCTCTCTCGTTCTCTTTCTCTCTCGTTCTCTTTCTCTCTCGTTCTCTTTCTCATTCTCTCGTTCTCTTTCTCTCTCGTTCTCTTTCTCTCTTCTCTTTCTCTCTCGTTCTCTTTCTCTCTCTTCTCTTCTCTCTCTTCTCTCTTTCTCTTCTTCCTTTCTCTTCTCTCTCTTCTCTTTACTCTCTCTCTTTCTCTCTCTCTCTTCTCTCTCAGTTTCTTTTCATCGTTCTGTCTAATTCGTTTTCTCTCGTTCTCTTCTCTCTTCTCTTTCACTCTCAGTTCTCTTTCCTTCTTCTCTTCTCTATACGATTTCTTCAGTTTCTTTCTCATCTCTCGTTTCTCTCTCTTCTCTCTCTCTCATTACTTTAACTTCCCGCTCTGTCATCTCTACTAGTCTCTCTCCGTTCTGGTCTCTGGCTTCTGTTTCTCATCGTCATTAGTGTTCTGCATCTCAAGTTTCGTCTTTGTTGTTGTTCATTGTTACTCGATCGGTCTCGTAGGGTGTAGTGATGTGTAGGTGTATGATGGTAGAGTCGTTTGTTTGCTGGTATGAGGTGTATGTGTATGGTGGCTAGAGTTAGTATGGTGGTAGAGGGGTGTATGGTGGTAGAGGGTGGAGTTATGGTGGTAGAGGGTGGTATGATGTGGTAGAGGTGTGGTAGTTGATTGTGGTAGAGGGTGGTATTGATTGTGGTAGAGGGTGGATTGATTGTGTAGAGGGTGGTCATTGATGTGTGGTAGAGGGTGGAGTGATGTGGTAAGGGTGGTATTGATTGTGGTAGAGGGTGGGTATTGATTGTGGTAGAGGGTGGGGTATTGATTGTGGTAGAGGGTGGAGTATTGATTGTGGTAGAGGGTGGAGTATTGATTGTGGTAGAGGGTGGGGTATTGATTGTGGTAGAGGGTGGGGTATTGATTGTGGTATGAGGGTGGGGTATTGATTGTGGTAGAGGGTGGGGTATTAATTGTGGTAGAGGGTGAGGTATTGATTGCAGTAGAGGGTGGGGTATTGATTGTGGTAGCGGGTGGGGTATTGATTGTGGTAGGGTGGGGTATTAATTGTGGTAGAGGGTGGGGTATTGATTGCGGTAGAGGGTGGGGTATTGATTGTCGGTATAGAGGGTGGGGTATTGATTGTGGTAGAGGGTGGGTATTAATTGTGGTAGAGGGTGGGTATTGATTGTGGTTAGAGGGTGGGGTATTGATTGTGGTAGAGGGTGGGGTATTGATTGTGGTAGAGGGTGGTAGAGATGACCTCTCCTCCCTCTCCCCACCGTCTTCCAATAAAGGTAAAAGTGATGTTAAATGTTCATTTATCCATTTCATTAGTCCTTTATATTTTTTCTCTTTGTTTTCCGTATGTAAAACTATAGCTATTCTGTGTATCTTTTGTTAATATTAGTATTTTTTGTTAATACTTTTGGGTGTTTGGACCAGATTAATTGAATGTTCAATATTTCTTAAGGGAAATATTGCTTCGGTTTTCGTCAAATTTGGATTTCGTCAGACTTTCTGGAACAAATTAATTATGAAAACCAAGGTTCCACTGTATAGTACATGTATATTTCATCGCTTTAGGGCGCTTTAACCCTTAATCTGTCCAAACGTAGATCTATGTTCACTCGCGTGGCGCTCCGAATATTTTGAAAAATAAATTATTTTTTTTTTTTTTAAATGAAGAGCACATTTTTCTACACATTATAGGATTAAAAAAAAAATTTGGGGGTCAGTTATTACCGAGATATAAGACCGTGAAGTTGCCTCTGGATGCTCACCTGACGGCAACATCGACTCCTGCTGCTTGCAGAAGTGTTGCCAATATACCTTTTTTTTCTCTCGTTTTTATTTTAATTTATATATTTTTATGTTCTGATAATTACAATTTATAATAGTTCTTGTGATTTCATAGCCAATCTTTGTTCTGACACTAATATTAGGTACTAAAATAGTACTCAAATAGTCACAATCACATTGACAGGTGAAAATTTACACTTGCCTGGGTTATTATTGTCTAGAAATATATACAAAGTATTTATAGGTCCCAGCAATGTTTTAGACACCCTGGCGTATACTTGAAGCATGGCGTTATGAAAGGCATCCCTATACTGTTAACAGCCCAGTGACATTTGATAAATGCCCACTGCTTCAGCTAACCCTCGATGTATTTGTTATCACTGTTACACACAAACATGTCTGTCTATCTGTATCTGTCTGCCTGTCTGTCTGTGCTTATCTGTCTTTCTGTCGCCTGGAGTTATACATATATGAAACTCCTTGAAGAATGGTGTTATGACAACTGTTGACAGCTCAGTGACATCTGATAAATGGGAGTCGGGGAACCCTGGCTTTATTTGTTTTCACTGATACACACAAACATGTTTGTCTATCTATTTGTGTCTATCTATCTTTGCCTGGAATTTTTGGGTTATCCTAGGTAATTTACACTATGTATAATAAACTGTACTTATGCGTACACATGAGATAGAGATAAAGATAGACAGACAGCCAAAGCAAGCCAGAATGCCGAATACATAAGAACATAAGAAAGAAGGAACACTGCAGCACGCCTACTGGCCCATGCAAGGAAGGTCCATGTCACCCCTCCCCCCCAAGCTTAGACCAATGACCCACATAGTCAGGTTACATCCATTGAAGGAAGGAGCATGACATCAGACCTAGTAGCACAAGCTAGTCAGGTCCAACTCACACCCATCCACACTCACTCATGTATTTATCTAACCTATTTTTACTTTCCTCTTAAAATGGGAGTGTTAATGCAACATGGTATCAGTGAATCCCTGGTGTTTGCCATGCTATTTGCTCTAGCTGGCACTCAATTGAACTGGTGCTCCACAAGGTACTAAGTGCTCCCAAATTTTTTTATACTGCGCACACTGAGTGCACATGACCCATTCTTTCATGTCTATGCAACTCAAGCCTATTGTACCAAATTTGAAGGAATGAAAAATTAAAACGTTGCTCTACGTTCGGAGCACTACACGTGCAAACATAGATCTACGTTTGGACAGTTCAAGGATTAAATGTAGTCTATTATGTGTGGGTGGGGTGACCAGATGGGCTACCATACCTAACCACACCTGACCTCTTACAATAAATACTACTCACCTTTCATCCTACATTTAAGACTACAAATATTTTGAGGTAAGTAATGAGTGTACTGTGTGTGCATTTTACTTTTTTTTGTTTTTTTAATGCCTAATTCTACTGCTAACCTAATATATGTTAGTGAAAACTTGTTATCTAGCATTTAAATGCATTTATAAGTGGAAAAAAAAATGGCATTCTGCTTTCCAGTGATGTCCATTTTCTGGTGGTAGCCTGGAACCTAACCTGCCATGTAAGTGGAGCCCTACTGTATTAGTAAAACAGGTTGTAAAAGTCAACATGATACTTGTGTGTTGCGTTGACAACAGTAACTAATTTCATGTGAACTCTCCTCAATTTCATGGAATTACGTAAAATTTTAACTTAAAATTATGGCTTAGAACAGATTCAGTATGACCAGTTTATACATCAGCATTCATATTAGGCTCTTGTTGTTATTCCTAATATGGATATACATTTGTATAGGCATTATAATCTCAGAAGTGAACAATGATGCTTGTTTCAAATCAGGAATTACAAGAATACACACCTTTTAGTTTTTCCTAATCTCTTATTTCATAAAAATGTGCACTTTAGCACAACTTACATTTTTCATGCACTTCTTAGTCTAGCTGTTTAGTCATTTTGTATATGTCATTCCCAGAAACTTCAAGAAAAGAGATGTGTATTCATTCAGAAATCATTCTATAAATAAAATTGTGCAGAGTTAAATGAACTTGTAAAAATTAGACAAGGTATTTCTGAAAAATTGTACAGCCTGGGGGTTTAAAAATGAGACCATTCTTTATACAGTAGTGGCTAGGCACATTTAAAATTAACAAAACTGCAATTTTTTCCCTTCTTTTTTAACCTGGTTATATACCCAAGGAAGGTGATGGCTTTCACACGAACAGTGTCTCCCAGAGAAGAATTCCCACTTATGTCTAAACACAGCTGGATAACAGGACGCAGGTGTGGAACCAACAGTGCCACCTAGAAATTATATAGTGTTAAAAAACAAAATCCAGGTAAAATTGCAAGTACTGTACAATATATTTTGGAGGAAATACTGAAGAATGGGGAAGTGGGAAGCAATTTATATTTCATCCAAAGAAGGGACTGGGGTGCCACCAATTCCCTGCTCCCGTCTTATTATTCTAATGTTACCACATTCCTAAGAATCTCTGAAGCCTACCGGCTTTCTTTACATCCTACTTCATAAAGCCTGAAGCTGTGTTAAGAAGCAATGGTATACACAATTTAAGTTTTTAGTATGCAAGTTAGTAATTATCACTCAAAATGCCTCGTAAAAAAAAAAATTGCTGGTTAAAGTGAAGTGTATAAACTAAATGCATAACTAAGGGAAGAGGAAGTTAGGGTAAGATATAAGCAACTGTTGGCAGAAAGGTGGGCTAATGTAAGAACAAGTAATGGGGGGTTGAAGAGGGTTGGGATAGTTTTAAAAATGAAGTATTAGAATGTGGGACAGAAGTTTGTGGCTACAGGAGGGTGGGTGCAGGAGGAAAGAGGAGTGAACGGTAAGAACGAAGTAAAGGGTGTGATAAAAGAGAAAAAGGTAGCTTATGAGAGGTTTTTACAAAGCATAAGTATTATAAGAAGAGCAGAGTATATGGAGAGTAAAAGAAAGGTGAAGAGTGGTGAGTGTGTGCAAAAGGAGAGCAGATGAAAAAGTGGGAGAGGCACTGTCAAGTAATTTTGCTGAAAATAAGAAAAAATTTTGGAGCGAGTTAGACAAGTTAAGAGAGCCTAGGGATCAAATGGATTTGTCAGTTAAAAACAGAGTAGGGGAGTTAGTAGATGGGGAGCAGGAGATATTGGGTAAATGGTGGGAATATTTTGAGGAACTTTTAAAAGTTAGTGAAGAAAGGGAGGCAGTAATTTCATGCACTGGTCAGGGAGGTATAACATCTTTTCGGAGTGAAGAAGAGCAGGATTTGAGAATGGGGGAGGTGCACGAGGCATTAAGTAGAATGAAAGGGGGTAAAGCAGCTGGAACTGACCTGATCATGATGAAAATGTTAAAAGCAGGGGGGATACTGTGTTGGAGTGGTTGATATTTTTGTTTAATAAATGTAGGAAAAAGGGAAGGTTTACCTAGGGATTGGCAGAGAGCATGAACAATTCCTTTATATAAAGGAAAGGTAATAAAACAAAGTACGAAATTTGACGAAAATTGACGAAATTATGCTCTCGCGAAATTTGACGTGTCAGCAATATTTACGCATCGGCGATTTTGCCGACTTTGACTCCCATTTTAGACCAATTACATTATTCCAGTTGACCAAATTCTTAGCTATTTCCCTAGTATTACTTCTATTCTATTGCTTGAGCACAAGAAATCGCCACGTCAACTGTTTCAACTACAAAATAAAGTGATCGGAAAACAGAAATTTGGCTAATTTAACACAAAGTTCAAAATATTCCAATTTCAAAACAGGGTCTAGAATAAACAACGCAGGCATTCCTGGCACTAAACTAACATTTCCTCGGTTCATTAGTTATGTTTTAAGGCTTTACAGATGAATTCCATTTTAATTATTTTATTCACACAATGAATTTTTATTCAAACCAAAATATAGAAGATTTACTGTTATGCAATATTGTAATAATTGTATAAATAATATCACCACATTTGTGAATGTATATTAGACCCACCAGCTGGTGTGTATTAGACGTGTGAGGTCATTTGTTTACTCTTGAACATCGGCAAAAATTTAACATTTCCTTTACTTTGAGCTCAGTTTCAAGCCATTTCCAGTACTAAAACCAATCACAATCATCTCAATTTTTGCAATATATCTTTCATTCTATCAAATGAGACCAAGAAATCACAAATATAAATATAAAAAACATACGAAAAAAAACACTGCAAAGTCGCTGTTTTAATTGAAAATTACGGTCTCGGTTTTTTTCTCTCATTATGCACTGTGTGCTGCAGGATTTGTTATATGTGGTGCACACATACCACATATATGTATTCTCTCATATCTAGGCCCAAATTTACCACTCACAGCTTATCAGAGCGAGCTGAGCTCATGGCGTAGATCTACGGTTTGGACCCTGAAAGGGTTAATGAGAAGAAATATTTACAAGTCTTTGATGAGAAACATCATTCATTACCACGTACATGCTAGCAGCATCTTTACACATGACTTAGCTCTCTGCCACCACAGAAAAAATGTAAAGATCTCATTTTGATCGAAAATGCTTGGCAGTTATTTAAATACGAGGAAGCAGAGCACCAATTTCCAGCAACCCAAAGTTAGTGGTCCCGAAAAATATATGATAATGCAAGATGATAGCTAAATGACTAAATGTTGATGTTTTGTGCTTATTATTCCTAATAAATATATTTTAATTGTTTTTGAGTTTTATTCAGCTTGCACACTTTATATTTTAGTAGCAAAGACTGTTTAGCAGAGTAGATAAGCACAGGGCCAGGAGCTAAGACTACCTCTGCAACTATATATATATAGAGTACATATAGGCGAGGAAAGGAAATGTACATCTCCATTACTATGTATAATAGAATTGTGCCTCAATCATCGTATTGTGTTAAACAATACTAAATTACCTCGCACTCTGCCAGAACATCAAACAATTCCATGGCCTCTGCTGCCTGGTCTTCATCACGGGTCAGCAATGCTTTTATTGCCTCTAGAACTTTGGGCAAGACTGCCTGGAACTCAGTCTGAAAAGAATTAACACAAAAGAGATTTATTAAATGCATATTTTTCTTGAAGTCAACATGATCTTGGATACATTTAACGTGCCAGTTTAAAAATTTCAGAAATGGATATTAAACTTTTCCTTTATTCTGTTCAGAACATCTGAACCAGTTTTCTGGTAACCGTTACATCATTGAAACAAGTGAAATGCAAGTTAATTTAGCCGAGGAGCAATACAACATTTGGGCAAAATTTATTAAACAAAACCAGAGCTATACTACAATGAGCTTGCTAGTACACATGACTGTGCTAATAAAAGTGGGACTCGTGGAATAGTTAAAAATTACCAAATTACACGATGCCCTGTTGCCTAAATTTCAGGGCATGATGAATTCCCAAATAACAATATGATGGCAAAAATTTAACAAGTATAAACCATAAGAAATCCTGCACTCGAACCCTCCTTTTTCTGAAAAGGGGTATTAAAAAATGCAAAAGTTTTTTTCCTAAGCCTTAACCATATTATCTTGGTCACAAGAGGTTGCAAAGTTGGTGGAGAGCCTGGATGTTGGAAGGCAGCACGGGGAAGTTGTGTCATCCAGGGTGGTTTGAAGAGGTGGAGGAGGTGCCGCAAGTGAGCATCAGTTGACACCTGCCACGCCACTACCACACTATCTACAATACAACACCAAGCTGAAACCAATGGCTATTCAACATAATGGGGTCTACAGAGTTAAATATCATTACAACATAAATAATATCCTATGACAGCAGTATAAATAGAAGCTCTTTGAAAGGGTGCTGTCTGATATTTGTTTTTATACAGTAAGACACCGTTAAATTTACACATTACGTTCCAGAAAATGCAGTTAGATAAACTGAAGAACTTATGGGAAAAATAGGGTTACATCCTGGAACACCCCAAAAAAGCAAAACAACTTTTTTCAGACCAAGAATCTTAGGAAAAAATAAAAGTGATTATGTAGAGAGATCCGAACAAATGGAATTACTTCGTGAGTGGTAAAATCTGTAGTGGAGGGAAGGGCGGGGTAGGTTCGGCCTAGGAAGGCTTGGAGGGATGAGGTAAAGGAGGGTTTTGTGCGAGGGGCCTTGGGACTTCCAGCAAGCATGCCATGAGCGTACTTTGATAGGAGTGAATGGAGAACAAATGGATTTTTAGACTGACATGCTGTTGGAGTGGTGAGCAAGGTAACCATTTATGAAGGATTCAGAGAAACCGGCAGCCAGACTTTAATCCTGGAGATAGGAAGTATAGTGCCTGCACTCTGAAGGTGGGTGTGATATCGCAGTTTTATAACTGTCCGTGTAAGCACGCCTCTGGCCAAGGACAGTGATGGAGTGGAATGATGAAAAGTTTTTTTTTTCGGGGCCACACCCTGCCTTGTGGGAAACTGTCCGATGTGTTAATAAAGAAAATGTATAACTGTAAGTTCTTGTTGTGATTATTATGTTTTTACTGCTTAAGACTACAAATGCAACAGAAATAAAGATTTCTTACCTTAAATTGTGGTGCCTGGTGTATTCAGTGATTGTGAAGAAGCAGAGATGCATAGTTTGGCCCCTGCTGGGCTGGGGGATGGTTTTGGTTGTTGGCAAAAGGGATGGTAGAGGCCGTGCTAAAGTCGATGGTTGTATTGGATGTGCAAAAATAGACTAATTTCAAAGCACTGCTTCTAGATTTTCGGGGGTCCGTTCATGAAAAAGTCTGCTATTTAGCAGCAACATGAAACCCACAAACTGCTGCAAGTAGTGTTTTTTCTACGGGGTTTCTTCTCATCATCATCGTTATTTGGCTCCCTTTATCTGTGCATTAGCTCTCCCCAACATTTCCTCTGGATTCCTGCTTCATCATCATCTTCAAGAGCTCATTCACAATTTCTTTATTCATACTTCAAAACCCATCATTTGGGGTATTCTCCTTATCAGCTGAAAAATTTCCTGACCCTGACTCCAAGCAAGGAAAAACGTAAAAGAACTAACTTAGAAGGCCATTTTCCCCCCCAGCCTGCTTTTAATTTTTGATTGGGGCACTTCTTTCCCATGCACTTCTAGCATAGCTAATACATCTGCAATTTAAATTTATTCCAATACAGTGCACCCGGGGTTTACGAAATTCATCTGTTTCCAGAGAGTGAGATTTATCCCCGAACCTACTTATTCCAAATTTAAATTTTTCCCCTATAAGAAAAAAAAGGAAATCCATTAATCCTTTTTCAACACCCAAAAGATAAAAAAAATGTTTTCTAAAATGAAATATACTTTTCCCTACACAGGAAACAATGATACATAAGAATAAAACAATAACATCACATTTATTTTAATGAAGACATGGGATGTATGGAAGATGGGGGGTGGGGAAAAATGGGAAGTTTACAAATGTTTGGGAAGGGGAATCCCACCCCATAAGACTTCAGGTACCAAGTCCTTAACATGTGTTACTTCCCTTCTTTTTTTTTTAAAACCCTTCAGGGTTTCAAAAGTACAGTACGGCTTACCACCAGTGTTATTGAGCACTTGTACACGTAAATTCTAGCACCTTCAAATCAAACAAGAGACAGCTGGTAGGCCCACATATAAAGAATGGGCAATGTTGGCTGTCACAGTAAAAAAAAATCCTGCTGCATACAGTGCTTAAAAAAAAAAACTGCCTTTTTTTTGTTTAAAACAGCGATTTTGCAGTGTATTTTTTGTAGGGAAAATTTATGGTTTATTCTATTTTTTTTCCCTGTCTCATTGTATAGAAAGGAAGACATATTACAGAAATTGAGAGATTTTGTTTGGGTTTTTCACATTGAAAAGAAAAGGCCCTTTCCATCACAAATCCGGCATCATGGGACCTGAGTGTGCCGGTTTTATGAGTTTCCCAAATTTACAGAGGGGTTTGGGTTAGAATACATTTAAAAAAAATTAAACCCAAACTTGACTTACCGTTCATTGAACATCGGAAAAAATCGAACTTTTCCGTACTTTGAGCTCTTTCGAGGTACTTTTCGTCACGAAAGCAAAAAAATAAAGTCTTTTTTTCTGTAATATATTTTTCCATTTTTAAAACGAGTAAAAAAAAATGAGAATAAAACCCAAAAAAAAAAACCATAAAAAATATACTGCAAAGTGGGGGCTAAGGGCTGAAATGAACTCCCTTTTTTTCGTCTGCTTTTTTTTTTTTTGTTGTACTTAAAAAGCATCTTTCCACATACTTTGCCTAAGTTTAAATGAGAAGCCCAACAAACAACCGAAAAAAAAAATTTTTACCAAAAATCAATAGGCAAGACCAAGCCAGGTACTGGAAATAAGTCACTTTGTCTGACTTTTTTAGGTTATCCCGGTTCTCTATACAACACTGCTTGTAAATAACTATGAACGAAAATTTTGTAAACCTGAAAAAACTTAATACTTCTAGTCTTCCCCCCTGAGTACAAGAAACTGCCCCCTTCACTTATTTCAAATACCCAATAAAAATGGGGCAAAATTGGGAATTTAAAACCAATTTCCAACAAATTTTAACAGATGCCAATTTTAAAATGGATCCAAATAAACAAAACAGCATTCCTGGCCTAAAAAACATTTTCTCTGTTCATTAGTCACGACTACAGGCCCCTCTTATATTACTCTTGCTTTTCATTTGGAATTTTTATTCACAAAAAAATAGAAGATTTACTGTTATGCAAACTGCTGCATTACTGTAGTAATTGTATAAATAATGTCAAGCCATTCTTGACTCCGTATTGGACTGACAGGCGGACAGGTATTGGACGGTGACATCATTTGTTTACTCTAGAGCTTCGCTAAAGAATAGAACATTTTCGCTACTGTGAGCGCAATTTCAAGGTACTTTTCGTCACGAAAGCAATCAAAATCATATCTATTTCTGTAATATATCTTTCATTCTATCAAATGAGACCGAAAAAATGAGAATATAACCATAACACCCATACAAAAATATACCGCTAAGCAGCCGCTAATGGCTAAGAAGTGAACTCCACTATTTATGGTCTGATTCCTTTCATTTTTGGTGTACGTGAAGAAGTATCTTTCCATCATACACTGCCCAAGTTTGAATAAGATAACCCAACAAACAACTGGGAAAATAATAATAGTAATAATAATAATTTTATTTACTACACGTACACGTACAAGGTATACAGGCCTAGCTGACATCAGTGACATACTACTGTATAGAAAGCCGCTTGTTATGCAGAGTATTTCAAGAAAATTAGGTCAGTGTCCCAGAATAACACCCACACTAGTCGGCTAACACCCAGGTACCCATTTACTGATGGGTAAACACAGACAACAGGTGTAAAGAAACACGCCTAATGTTTCTACCTTGGCTGGGAATCGAACATTTACCAAAAATCATATATGACTAACCCAAGCCAGGTACTAAAAGTAAGCCACATTGACTTTTTTAGGTTATCCTAGGTTCTCTACACACATGCTGCTATGTGTGATAATCTACAGAGAGAAAATAACTTTTTTGTTTCAGGTTTATGGTGCAGTACGAGTGTATATCACAATTAGCCCGCACATGTCAAAGCCAGTCATAGCAAGAACCAGTTCAAGAAGAGTGCCAAAATCTGTCTGATGAATGTAGCTACAGAAAGGGAGGGGAATGATTTTCTATATTTTAGCTAACATACGTGTAAATTTTACCTTATTCCTAGTAATGACCCTCGTACTGTAGATAGTCTTAATGACCCTCGCGTAGTAGATAGTCTTTTTAGTATGATAAGGTGTTATCTTCATTATAGAATAATAAGAAAATATTATAACCTTTATATTATAATAATAAGGTAAAAGGACCCCAATGGAAATAAGTCGCTGAGTTTTTTGGGTTATCGATTCTCTACACATATGCTGCTATGTACGATAATTCTATGTAACTGTATTTGTGTATACCTGAATAAACTTACTTGCTACACTCCGATTTCTCTAATATAAGCCACCAAGACAGGGATAGGAGAATGGTATTTGTATACCATATCCTCTTCATATCTCCGTCGAACTGCTCAGTATTATGCCAAATATTATTAATTCTGGAGTATTTATAATGTTTTATGTTATTTATATTGTTTCTTATGTCATATTAGATCAATTGTGATAAGTAAATAAGCTGTAGTGTTGATATTAGCATAATAATAAAGCATATTCTCCTTCATCATGATACTGAGCTCATAGCAACCGACAGTGGCTTCAAAGCCACCTTATCTTTAATCGTTTAATGGATAATGTACTGTGTAGGTGCTTTACATAATGAGAAGCATTTCTTTTATTCATTAGAACCATGGCTAGGGCTAAAAGTAAGCAGGTTAAAACAATAAATGGAGAAAAAGAAATTGGAATGACTTATGCAGCAAGTAGCACCACCAACAGTACCAGCAGGTTGGTGTGGCGATCCTGGAAATTTGAAATTATGCTAACCAAAATTAGTGCCGAATAACTGAAGGAACCGAATAACTGATTGCTGGATTTGTGATGGCGGACCTGTACCTTGAAACTGAGCTCAAAGTAGCAGAAATGTTCAATTTTATTGGATAGCTGAAATTGGTAAATGGGTGGCTTCTTGAAGTTCTAGCGAAATAGTTATAATTTTTGTCGACTGGTACACTGGAATTGGCCGAAAATAGGGCTCAAAGTAGGAGATATCACTGATG